GTTGCAGCTAGCGTAAGCTTTGATTTTGTTACAAGTCTATGGTCCAAATCAGAGCGCGATTATAAGTCGTTCCTGGAATAAGTAGAACGTGTATAGGCGAACTGCCGACTACGGAAGCCACATTTCTGATGGCTAATTCCACTGCGCATGTCAGAGCAGATACTGAGAAGCGAAGGACATGATAGGCACGAACGGCATGAAGTAGCTGCAGTTTTGTGTAAACAACAGACTGTCCCTTATGAACATATATATGAAATATATATATAGACCAAAGATTTCCGCACAGTAAGAGTCACGAGAATAATTACTGCAAATTTTACTCAGTCATGAACCTGTAGGAGACCTACATTTTGACGGCTACTTTTCCATTTCAACCGTTCTTACTTTTGCTTAAATATTGGTAAATGTATCCTGTTTCGTGATGGCCTGGAAATAGCGTAAGAGCCAGCTTCTCTATGTTGAAACGGTGGTAATACCGCCACTCGGAAATTCGTACCAAGACCTCACTAGTTCTCCACTTCTCAGATTCACTTGGACTTGGTAATGATTGTGGAAGCGTCCGCAATAGTTACTGAGGTTCAAAACCCCAAATGAATTGTCAAACAGTTACAAGCTCACAGATAAACGGAAATCGGAAATATGGATGCGGGCTACCGCGTTGGTCTGAAAAACACCTCAAGCTGGTTAAACCACAGGACGTGATTGATAACCGAACCGAAACATCATCAAGCTCATCATGGACAAAAAAAATGCAAGAACCCTATCAACAGACGTATTTATTCACGTTTGCTTCATAGAAACGGAGAAGGTCAACGGGGAATCCACTGAAATATACGGGACCCGAATATCCATTGAACGTTTTGTGCAGTGAAACAGCGGTTACTGAGTGTTGTCCGTCCGGGAAGGCCATCGAAAACCAGTCTCAGACTAAGACGTTGGGTTCAATAATAAAAGAGAAAGCCGTAACATTTTCACTCAGCTGTGATATATATCACTTCCTACAGCGATTCTAGTTTTACATATTGACTAATGAACGACAACAGTCGAAGCTTACTGCCCAACCAAACAAACTTAAGATGCGGAGTTGAGCAATTCTACAAGGAATTAGAAGTGCAGCGGAGAAGAATTCGACTGTTCAAAGGAACTTGAAAGGGTGGTCGGGAAAAGAATGAACGACGTGGAGGGATTTATTGGTAAATACGAAACAGGCGAACGAAATGAACATGGAGGTCGCTTCGCCACTTTCGCTGTAAACAACCAACTCCCTCTTATGAACATCTTTTTCCAGGAAGCTTTATAGTGTCAGTGGACACAAGCGCCCAGATGGAAAGTTTTTGAACCAAATAGACCATGCACTGACGGACAAGAAACCATTGTGCCAGTAATAGGCGAGAATATCATCTCCACAGAATCAGAACACAGGATTATTGTATTCCAGCTCCGGGCTGTTTAAGAGCGGCTTACTAGACATTGTCGCCGAATGCTGCACTTTAAAATGGATTGACCTGCTCCCTTGCGTCAGATGAGAGGAACGTCTTTTCATGGTAGACAACAGAAAAATGCGTCATTCAAGAGATTTCTTGGAAGCAAAGAGCGTTCAAATGGAACACGGTGGGAGGAAGAGCTCACATGTGGAATCGATGGCCCTCTGTTACAATCCATCTTGACACTATTTGTTGATAGCAGATGCTGAGTCACGGTAAATTGGGTATAGCCGAGTCATTTAGTACTGGTGTCCGCCAGAGCTGCGTTTTGTCCCCTCTTTTTATGTTCTATATACGGATAGGATAGTCAGACGCAGCCAGGGCGACGATGAGTCAGTGTAGAAGATTTGCGCTTATTTGATGTTTACACAGATCTTGTTTTGTTGACATCAAATGAAACTAACTTCTAACGCTCTCTCGAAAGGTTAACAGCTGAGTGCGATGTGGCCGTCATACGAAGTCCTAGAAAGGAAAGTATAGTGCATTTTCGTTCTACTGCCTGCTGTGCTGTGGAGATAAATGGATATGCTCACGACAAAGAAGGTCTTTACTTGTTGAAACAACAGCAACGCTTACGTACCCCCGGGTAGTGTTTATTGGTGATAAAAATGAGAAATAAAGATCAACCTGCGGATTGAAATAGCCGCCGACTTTCTGCATGAATTAGCCCCAACCGTTGTTAGCTAGACAAAGCTGAGACTGATAACTGTTTGTGTTCAAGTCGATCTTCATCCCCGTGCTCACTTATGGTCATGAGTCGTGGACCATGACTGAAAAACTTCGATCCTGGGTACAAGTGGCCGAAATGACCATTCTCCTAGTAATGACTTATGCGCCTCCATGTCACCCGAGGATAGATATTAGAGAGAGCCTTGATGTACAGCCGCTGCTTCTCTAGATTGACTAGTCGCAGTTGCGATAGTTTGGGCACTTCTCGCGAATGCGTTAAGATGGGAATGCGAAGCAGATGTTACATGTTGAACCGACCGGTAGAAGATCCCTGGAAGGGCCAATAATCGTTTCGATAGTATTTGCTCTAAAATCGAGTTATCTTGTCCCGATACTCAATTTCTACTTCCTTCTTGCACAGGATTAAGGAGACGCT